CAGAAATCAAATTCCCGAAGGGGGACCCTATGGACTTAAAACCCCAAGGGAGGCTACCAGAATCAAGAATAGAAAAAGCATCCATAGGAGAGGAAAAAAGATTAACAGAAATACCAGAGGAATATAGGGACCTTGCTGAAGTCTTCAGTGAGGAGAGGGCGAATGAGCTTCCCCCCCACCGACCCACAGACTGTACCATTGAATTCAAGCCTGGGGCAAAACTCCCGAAGCCCAGATTATACTCCATGAGCCCAAAGGAGAAGGAGGAAATGGAAAGATTTATAAAAAAAAAACCTAGAGAGGTTTCATTGAGCCAGCCAAGCCTAAAGTGGCTGCCCCGGTCCTTTTTAGAGAGAAGAAGGATGGCTCTTTACGTTTATGCGTGGATTATAGGGCCCTGAATACAATCAGTGAAAGCAACCTATACCCGCTGCCCCTCATGAAAGACATGCTGTCACACCTATCGAAAGGGAAAATTTTTTCTAAACTAGACCTAAGGGAAGCTTACTATCGCGTAAGAATTAAGGAAGGGGATGAATGGAAGACTGCATTTAACTGCCCCATGGGGTGCTATCAATTCAAAGTCTTGCCATTTGGATTACAAGGGGGCCCTGCAGTCTTTATGCAATTAATCAATGACGTTCTAAGGGAGCACCTGTTTAAGGGGGTCCTTGTTTACTTGGACGACATTCTTATCTTTACCGAAACAAAAGAAGAACACGTCAAACTTGTCAGAGCGGTTTTAAAGAAGCTGCGAGCCGCTCACCTATATGCCAAACTCTCAAAATGCGAATTCCACCAGGAAAGGATAGACTACCTAGGCTATCGCATATACCCACAGGGCATTGAAATGGACCCAGAGAAGGTCAAAGCAGTATTAGATTGGGCGCCACCCCGCACAAGAAAGCAACTACAAAGTTTCCTGGGCTTTGCAAACTTTTACCGCCAATTCATCCCCTCATTTGCCCAGATAGCTTTACCCCTCACTAACTTACTAAAAACGAAGGGAGCATCCTCAGTAAAACCTAGCCAGCCACTAACATGGACAATGGAGTGCCAAGCAGCGTTTGAGAGACTAAAGAGACTTTTTTCTGCCGAACCAGTACTAAGGCACCCAGATATGGACAAGCCCTTCATAATACAGGCAGATGCAAGTGATGTGGCAGTGGGGGCTGTGCTATTACAAGAAAATGATGATGCAGTATTGCAACCCTGTGCATATACATCCAAGAAACTCACGGAAACAGAACAGCGCTGGCCCGTATGGGAGAAGGAGGCTTATGGGATACGTTGGGCATTACTCACGTGGCGACAGTTCCTGGAAGGCAACAAAATCCCCTTCCAGGTGTGGACCAATCACAAAAATTTAGAAGCCCTGAAAACGTCCAGGAAACTCAATCCCAAACAAGCCCGCTGGTCTCAGCATTTTCACCAGTTCCAGTTTAAGCTCAAACATTTACCAGGGAGAAAGAACTTCCTGGCAGATGCTCTATCTCGCATGCCCCAATATAACAGCGCACGAACCACAGACTCTAGACCAATAATGGCAGAGTCACAACTGGAAGCACCAGTAACCACAAGAACCCAAGCCAAATTAAAACCACAACTGGACAGCCAAACTGGAATTGAATTCAGAAAAAGTTTGGAAACAGATGAATGGTTCCAGAAAAACAAAAATGTGTGCACAATGAAAGACGGGTTGCCTTGGGTAGGGGAAAAGTTATATATACCAACAACTCAAAGAGTCACTTTCATGCAGCTTTGCCATGACACAAAATCAGCAGGGCATTTTGGATTTGTAAAAACTTTACATTTAATTAAACGGCAATTTTGGTGGCCATCCATGAAAAAGGACATTGAAAGTTATATAGCCAGTTGTCCAAAATGTGCCACGGCAAAGAGGTTGCAAGGGAAATTGCCAGGACTATTGCAAACAGTGGCAAGTCCCTCAGCCCCCTGGAGAGAAATAGCCATGGATTTTATAGTGGAATTGCCAGAAAGCAATGGGAATACTGTGGTCTGGACGGTCACAGACTTGTTTTCCAAACAGGTGCACTTTATCCCTTGCCAAAAGATTCTCACTGCAAAAGCCTTAGCAAAACTTTTCATCCAGCACATTTACAGATTGCATGGGGCACCCCAACGCATCATCTCTGACAGGGGGGTGCAATTTACGTCTGCATTTTGGAAGGAATTTTTATCCCTCTTAGGAACCACTCAGTGACTGACATCTAGCCACCACCCTCAAGGAAATGGGGGGGCTGAAAAAATGAACTCCGTACTTAAGCAATATTTAAGATGTTTTCTTAGTTTCCAGCAGACCGAGTGGGCGGACTTACTCCCTTTTGCAGAAGTTGCCTACAATAATGCAGTCCACTCCAGCACAGGTTACACTCCTTTTCAAATAGCCACCGTTCAAAGTTTCAACCCCATGCCAGAATTAACCCCAAACGAACCAATGATCCCATCACTGAAAGAATGGATGGAAAAACTACAAAACACCTGGCCAATAGTTAGAAAAGCACTAGATGAAGCTAGGCAGGCATACAAAGCACAAGCCGATAAAAAAAGGGTTGAGCCTACACCATTCATTATAGGAGAAATGGTGTACTTATCTACAAAATACCTAAAGTCCCTACAGCCCTGTAAAAAACTTGGACCAAAATACATAGGACCTTTTCCAATTAAAAGAATCATAACTCCAGTAACAGTAGAATTAGAATTACCCAAAAATCTCAGGCAAATACACCCAATTTTTCATTGCAGCTTGCTGAAAAGAGAGCATCAGTCACCTCTACGGCCAAAAATCCCCCCCCACCACCTCCAGTCATGGTGGAGGGTGAACAACACTTCAAAATAAAAGAAATCCTTGATTCTAGGAGATATCATGGAGCAACTCAGTACATAGTTGCCTGGAAACACCTCCCTCCCTCACAAAACGAGTGGGTCCATAAACGTCATGTCAGAGCCCCGAAGCTATTGAAGAAGTTTCACACAGAGTATCCTAACAAGCCTGACTAAGTTTTATACCTGTTTTGTTTTCTTTCAGGTGGATCTCTCTTATTTTTAAGAGGGGCCGGATGTCAGAATCCAATTATATTTCATCTTTAATCATCAACTATAGAAAACCCCAATTCTGCCTTCTCTGGATTCTGCCATAAGAGGGAGAGAAGGGGGAGAACAAAGGGGCTTTATGGCCCTCACTTCCTTCAGTATGAAGGAATGTGTTTATTGCAACCTCAAAGAGTTTGAATGTAAATAGCACCAAAGAACCTTAACATGACAAAGGGGCTATTTACCATTCATGTAGTTTATTTGAAGTCTCCATCCAGAAGGACGGAAGAAAGCATCAAAGGGGTGGAATTGTGATGCCTGAAACTATCACTGGAAGGGGGGGTGATTGGGTGGGACTGCTGGGGAACCCCTTAAAACTTTGAATGGGAGAGCTTGGACCCCAAGTCCTGTCTAGCATGCCTGCAACCACTTCTTCTTAATAAAGGATTCCTGTTGGAAGAATTATTCCAAGAGTTCTGTCTTCTTAAGATGCAAAGTGGGGTGGGTCCTTACACTGGCATTATAAGGAAAAGGTACAATTAGGAAACAACTTCTCCAGCACCATGTGTATGATGTAAAAAATTGCTAATAATAATGGGATTTGCTAAGATCAGAAAGTTACCTTAATTCATAGTTATTAAATTGTAGAGAAAAATTCAACATGTAGTTATGTCATCTGTTGAAGAGCAATTCAATGACACAAAAAAGAAAACACGGGCATAATACAAACTACATTTGTGAGAATAATAATAAAGTGATTGGCAACCCAAGATATTGGAACACTCCTATCGTGTCACCCTAGTCCTTCTTTTCATTAAACTAGACATACCCAATTCCAACAACCGTTCTTTATGTTTTAGCCTCCAGTTCTCTGATCATCTTTGTTGATCTTTTATGTACTTTCTAGAGTCTCAACATATTTTTTACATCATGGTGGCCAAAACTGGATGCAGTATATCAAGTGTGGCCTTACCAAAGCATATATAAAGTGGTATTAACACTTCACGTGATCTTGATTCTATCCCTGTTAATGCAGCCTCTGTGTTGGCTTTTTTGGCAGCTGCAGCACACTGCTGGCTCATATTTAAGTGATTGTCTACTAGGACACCGAGATTCCTCTCACAGTTACTAATATTAAGCAAGATACCACCTATACTATACCTGTGCATTTGGGAGGGTTTTTTTCCTTAAATGTAGAACCTTACTTTTTCCACCATTGAATTTCATTTTGTTAGATAGTGTCCAATGTTCAAGTCTGTCAAGATCTTTCTGTGTCTTAAGCCTATCTTCTAGAGTGCGGGCTATTCCTGCCAGCTAGTATCATCTGCACATTTGATGAGTTCCCCATTTATCCCCTCATCCAAATCACTGATGAAGATGTTGAAGAGCACTGGGCCCAAAACAGAGCCCTGGTGCACCCTACTGCACACTTCTCTCCATGTAGATGCAGTTCCACTGAGGACCACATGCTGAGTACGGCCGGTCAGCCAGCTATGAATCCATCTGGTGGTGATGCTGTCTAACCCACATTTTTCTATCTTATCAACCAGGATTGTGGTTTACTTTATCAAATACCTTAGTAAAGTCCACACAAATTATATCCACAGCATTCCCCTGGTTCACTAATTTTGTCACGGGTCAAAGAATTCAGTAACATTTGTCTGACATGATCTGTTTTTGACAAACCCATGTTGGCTTTTGATTATGACTTTGTTTGCCTCTAGGTGTTTGTTGATTCATTGCTTAATTATGTTTTCTTTTCCAGAATCTTCCCAGGTATTGAGGTCAGGCTGATAGGTCTGCGGTTTCCTGGATTTATTTATTTTTTCCTTTTTTGAAGATGGGAACTATATCAGCTCTTTTCCAGTCCTCTGGTAGTTCACCAGTGCTCCAGAATCTGTTGTGATTTATGTAAGTTGTGATTTATGACTTAGCATACAATTGGAAACTTTTCCAAAATTTCATTTGAACAGTGCCAGATTTATCCAATGTTAGGACAATAAATTTACAGGAGGGTTATGTATTTTTCCTTAACTCTGTTATGCCTATTTTAGAACATACACCATCCCATACATTATAGCTTTCTTACACATAGCTCACCAAATAGATAGTAAAACATTAAACCATTATTTTTGATAATTGTGGCATTATTACTTTGTGTACAATTCAAGGTGACACTTGTGGCCACAAAAAACTTTCTGAGAATTATAATGAAGAGCTTGGGAGTCATAGGTGGCTCTGAGATAATAGGTTGCCTGCCTTTTTAGCATGATGTATGAATCCAGATTATACAACAAATTAATATTTGCAATATTTTCAACTATGTATTCAGCTAAACACAGACAACTACAAAAATGTGTAACATAAAAGATGTTGAAAATAGACCTACTGTGTTTCCCCGAAAATAAGATCCAACCCGAAAATAAGCCCTAACCTGATTTTTGGGGGTGGGCTTAATATAAGCCCGACCCCAAAAATAAGACTGGGGTGGGCGTGGCCAGCATAAGTGGCAGTGAGCACAAGGGGGGGCGATGGTGTCTGACAGCACCTGCAGCCCACTGGCACCTTGAAGCAGGACAGGTAAGTCCAGAGCAGAGGCAAAGGTGGTGGGGGGGAGGCAGGCAATCAGACATGCTGCACGCTTTTCGCCCAGAGGGATACTGGAACCTTCATCTGCTTGCAAATGGGGCGGTTGGAAATGGAGTGAATCCCTCAGTTTCCAACCGCCCTATTTGCAAGCAGACGAAGCTTTTAGTCTCTGACATTTCTCCATCCAGGCAAAAAGTGTTTGGGAACCTATCGGGCATTTGAAAACTGAGCAAATTGCGAATCGGAGACTAGAAGCTTTGTCTGCTTGCAAATGGAGTGTTGGAAACGAAGCAAATCCCTCTGTTTCCAATCTTTCCATTTGCAAACAGACGGAGCTTCCAGTCTCCCTTTGGGCGAAAAGTATTTGAGTGCCTATGGAGCACTTGAGGTAGTTCCACCCCCTCCTCCACCTGCCTTGCCTCATAGTGGTGGTACGGTGCAGTGGGCTACACAACCTCCTGCCATGAGCGGCCACAGAAATGGATCACTGCCCATGTGGGCTCCTGCTGGATGGGACTGTTGGTGCCGCCGCTGCGAGGCGGCTGTCGCGAAAAAATGAAGATATCCCCCAAAAGTAAGACCTACTGCCTCTTTTGGAGGCAAAAAAATATAACACTGGGTCTTATTTTTGGGAAAATACAGTAAAGCACTCCATTTAGATTGTCAAAGAATCTTGCACATATATTCAATGATCATTTTATCACTGGTGGCAAAATCTTGTATTAAAGTCCACTCAAAGTGACTTTAATATAAATATAGTTCTGTATGACTAGTTCTGGTGATTTCTAACAACAACAACAACAACAAAAACAACCCAGAGAAAGCGTTCTTTACAGAATTTTTCTGAAAATAAAAATGATGGAAGAAGTAATGAGAAAATTCAGGAGAGCTACTAGTTGGCTTGTTTTTTCAAACCTTATGAAAAAAGAGCATTTCTTTTTGAATGAGTACATAATCTAAAAACCTCTTAGGTTTCAAATACATTTATGGCAAAATATTTTAATTCTGAATTAAGCTGAAGTGTAAATAATGAAACAATAGTATAAAGAAAAAAACTATGATCTTTTTTAAAATACTAAATTTAAAAGATTAAAAAACAACAACGGTGTTTAAACAAATGGTGGTAGACCAAACAGTTCTGGCTTGAAATCACTCATGGACCTCAGTACTAGGGTTGCTTCTTTTGTAAGGTGTTTGTTCAAGTTTTCATCTGGAATCATGATCACTTGCATACCAGCCTTCAGTGATGCCTTCACTCCATTGGGAGCATCTTCAAATACAAGACACTGAAGATTAAGAAACAAAAGAATCAAATTAAACAGAAGCAAAATATTTATTCTGTTATGATTAATGATATGTAATGATCAATAAATGGTCATGATTTCCTTTAAACTCAATGCATTGTTGAGACATTTCGGGAACAATTTTGTGGAATAACTTCTTTTTAAATATACACTTGACTTTTATTTCTCTGAATTCACACTGCTTGTGAACATGCTGGATTTTAAAGCCTAACTCTGTGATGCTTTAGTAAGGTATCAAGCGTAATGGTGTGAAAGATGTAATTATGTAATTTGTTTGTGAACAACATCATTCAGTGGCTTTGACAGATTCCAGTCATATGCTGCAATGAAATCACCTGCCTTGCCTGAGGACCACATACTTTGTATTACTACTATTAGCTTATCAGATTTATGAAATAAGGAATATGATGATTTCCAAGGTTTTATATTTTTACAACCTCTCTAGCATTGTAGTACACTGCCATCTTCAACTATATTGGTCACTAGGATGTTTCAAATATTAGGAACAATATTATCATTCTAGTATGCATTCTAGCTGTCACTTGGAACAGGGAGAAGGAAAAAAAAGTCTGAATTTTATTTATTTAAGCCACATATATACGTAGTTGCTCAATTCACATATTGAGACTCTGGGTGGCTAATGTTGGATTAAAAACAGGTAAGCAACCCCCCCCCCCAAGAATACAGCTGAAGTTAACTACAATCATTCAGATAAATCATGAAAAACATGTTTCTCTAATACTTGGGGAAAAGCCAGCTTTTTAAGGGGGACTACTACCAGAGGATTAGAAAAGAATTGATGTGGTTCCCATCTTCAAAAAAGTGGGGGGGAAAAACCATACCCAGGAAATAACAGACCAATCAGCCTAGCATCAATACCTGGGAAGATACTGGAAAAATAATAAAAATACATCCAAAAACAAAAAGTATACTTAGCAAAACATACCACAAAGTAGACCACAACCTACTTCTTGGTGAACTAGAAAAATGTGGGATAGACAGCATCACCACCAGATGGATATATAACTGACTGACTTAATGGTACTACATCTACATGGAGGGAAGTAAACAGTGGGGTACCACAGGGTTCCATCTTAGGCCCAGTACTCTTCAATATCTTCATACATGACTTAGATGAAGGAATAGAAGAGCAACTCATCAAACTGTCTAAATAATGGTTTAACCTAGGACTTCCGGCTGTGACATCATCATGGAGCGGGTGAAGAAACAGAGCTCTATTTCTAAATCCCCAAAAATCTTCGCTAAGAGCCCAGCAAGGGCTTTGCTGATCCCGGAGAGATTGGTAAATTAAAGAGGAAGCTTCAGAGAAGCCAGGTGGAAAGCAAACACCCAAGCAGAAAGGAGCAGCTCTTTTAAAATTGGCGAAGAAGAAGCTGGTCTTTAAGGCTGGCCTGGAACGATGGCGACGGTCTGAGAGGGAGTGAAAAGTAGAACTGACAGTTTCGTAATGGAGATGAGGAAAATCCCTGAAGGAGGTGAGAACATTTGGCTAGAGAAGACGCAAAAAAAAGCAAAGCTATAAGGAGGAAGACACAGCGGCAACTGAATTGAAATAGAGCGGAGAAGGGAGCAATAGAGCAGAATGAGAGCAGCGTGAAGAAGCAGAGAGCCCACAGTAAAGTTTATAAAATGTGAGAGACTGGAATTTAAGAACTGCAAGAAGTAGAGACTGAAACCAGAGAAAGGACTGGAGAAAGGACGGTTGGAGGCAATAAAGGGTGATTAAGAAGGACTTTGAAAAATTAACATAAGGATTAAAAGGTGAAGTGAGACAATCGAGAAATTTAATACTACTTAGTAGAACCTACTTTTGAAGAACAAACTGCATTGAAATTTGGACTTTAACTGACATATATCTGGGTAAAGTGACGAGTGGACATTTTGGAAATATTGGATACAATATTGTAGCATTCATATACAAGCAGTGACTAAGCTACAAGTAGAAAAGGGGCATCAGGCAATGTATTAAAAGTAATGAAGTAAATGAATTGTATTAACGAAATAGAAATAAGCATAATTGTGTAATTGAACTAAATAGAAGTGAGAAAGTAATTATAGTATTGTAAAGAAATATAGACAGGTGATTATTCAAATAAGAGTGATAGTGAATGAAATTAAGAGTGGTGATAATACTTAGAGACTAGTATATGTATATGCATTGTGTGTAGGGCTATAGAAATATATATAAGAGGTGTTTAGAGTATTATAAATTGTACTAGATAATAGTGGGATAAGGAAAGGTACAACTCTACTTGTAATTTTATTTTTCAACGTTAATCCTAAGAATAATGTTCTATAAAGGTATTATAGTCATATATATTGATACATAATTAGAAATAATATATATATATTTCTTTACTATCTATATTATATATATATTTGCATATTTAAGCTTAGACTATATAGATTGAAAAATAACTTGATCAACAAAAATAACTTGCCATAAATTGGTATATGCAAAAGTGGAGAAATATTATTCAAATAATAAAAATGACAAGTACTGCAACAACAACTAAAGTCGGCAAAAAAACAGTTATAAATCCCACATCTATAATGGCCTCTCCTACAGGTCAAAGAATGATAGCGACCATGTTGGGGAAAGAAAAAGAAAAAGCAGAATTGGCAGTGAACCCACAGAGAATGCAGATAACTCTACAAACGATTCAGGAAACAATGATGATGACCCAAGAGGTAATAGCAAACAATCATGAAGAAATGAAAACATATCACAAAGAAATTAATAATGATATTGGAAAAATGAGAGATGAAATTAAAAACATGAATGATAAGATAGGCAATATACAACAAACAATGATGGAAAATGAACAAAGAATCCAAAAAGTTGAAACAAAAATGGAGCATGTTGATAGCAAAATAGAAGATGGTACAAAAATCTGAGCAGGTAAATAAGGAGTTGACTGAATCGATTGCTTTTTTGGAAATGAATAAAGCTTCATTCTTTCTAAGATTCCAAAATATTGTGGAGGAAAAGGAAGAAGATCTGGGAGAGAAGATGGCGGAGATGTTGGCGGAGATATTAGACAAGGAAAAACAGGAAGTAAGAAGAGACATAGACGAAATATATAGAGTATATACAAATTATGCACGAAAGCATAGATTGGCAAGAGAGGTCCATATAAGGTTTACTAGAAGATCAATAAGGGATGAAATATATAAAAAAACAAGAGATGAACCAATCATATATAAGGGTAAAGAAATAATTGTATTAAAACAAATACCACGTAGTATACGAAATCAGAGACGAGAATACCAATTTCTAACAACCCAATTAATTAAATATAAAGTTATATTTCGATGGTTAATACCTGAAGGCATATTTCTAACTTGGCAGGAAAAAAAATATAAGATAGATACACTTGAGAAAGCGTAGGACTTTTATGAATGTTACTTTACACAGGGAGAAGAACTAGAAAGTAGGGAAGAGTCGGAGTCAGGATGAAGAAGTATTAGAGGAAGTCGAACGAGAGAGAGAAATACAAAAGATACAAGAAAGAGAAAGGTTAGAAAGAGAAGGAGCAAAAGGAAGAGTAATAGAGACAAGAAGCATAAAGAAAATAGATCAAGTAAAAAATGGGAGACGCAATTAAGCTCTTCTCTGTAAACATTAATGGATTAAATATACCAAGAAAAAGAGCACAAACGTTTAACAAATTAAGGAAATTGGATGCAAATATGATATGTCTCCAGGAAGTTCATATAAAAAAGGATTATAGAAAATTACTAGAGAATGTAAAATTAGGAACACTATACACAACATTAACACAAAACAAAAAAGGGGGAATTGCTATATATGTCAAAGAAAAAATAAAATCAAAATCAATATATTCGGATGAAGAGGGGAGAATTTTAATGTTGGAAATAGAATTAGAGCAAAAACAAATTTTATTAATGGCAGTATATGCACCAAATAATAACCAACAAGTATTTTTTAAAAAGGTACATAAGAAACTAATGGATCTGGATTACGAAAATATTTGTATGATTGGGGATCTAAATGCAATAGTTGATGTTAAGAAAGATTATAAGAGAAGTAAAAAGAACAAAAAGAAGAAAAATATATTACCAAAATCATTCTTTGACATGGTAACAGAACTCAATCTTCAGGATATATGGAGAGAGACACACAGATCAGACAAACAATATACGTTCTATTTGTATCCACATCAGTCTTGGTCTAGGATCGATATGGCCTGGGCAACAACAGATGTACAAAAAGGGATAGAGGAAATTGAAATAGGGCTTAATGATTGGGCGGATCACAACCCAATAATAATAAAATGGAAAGGCCAGAAACAGAGAAAAAGATGGCCAAAGAATCAATGACTGTGTAAAGATAATATATACAGATGCTAGAAAAGGAATTGACATTATTTTTTCAGGTAAATAAAAAGGAAGAGACATCAACACAAAAGCTTACATTCAGGGATTGACAATTGCATACAACTCTAAGAAAAACAAAGATAGGAGACTTCAACAAGGAAAATTACAAGAAGAATTAAAAAAAATAGAAGGTGATCTACAGAAGGACCCACAAAATAAAAAGATAAAAGAAAAATGGAATATTATAAAACACAAGATTAATCTGACAACACAAAAAGAAATGGCACAGAAAATCAGGATGGCAAAACAAAATTACTTTGAAAATGCGAATAAAACTGGTTGATGGTTGGCTTATAAATTAAAAAAAGAAAAAGGCAAAAGAACAATACACCAACTACAAGATGAAAGTGGAACAGTACAATATACATACATATATACATACATACATATACATATACATATACATATACATATACATATACATATATATATATATATATATATATATATTTCTAAAATTTGGATTGCTAGCAAAGAATTAAGGGAGAACTGGAATAATTATTTCGAAGTCTTTAGTTCTTTTCAACTAGACATACCCTTCTGAGATTTGAACCTGGGCT